AAATGACTGCTCCCATACATGGCTGGCAGATGTAGAATTGCACAAGCAAACCCAGGAAACCATTTGTCATGTTCTAGCAAGGTCGAACATGTGCACACACGAAAGCCAGCCGTGCCAACATAGGTATCCATGCCAGAGAAGCCATGCCACGCGAGACCAAGCGGCGTGCACGAGAACGCTCGCGGAAGCGCTCCAGGACAGTGACGGGGTGGACAGACCCTGTGGCCGTCGACCCCAGGACAGACATAAAACGGGGAGTGGAAAAAGCAAGCTTCAGGGTACGTGCGGTGTGGAGCCATGGACGTGAACATTTTTAAGCATAAGGAAAAAAAAAAATCATTTGTCGTTCACAAGTACATATATAAGTAAAAAAGTATTTTTAAAGTATGTCTAGGCAATATTTCGGATAAAAGTTACCTTTGAGGCAGGAGAAATAACTAATGGGGAGGCATGTTCCAATTCTATCTGCAGCAGTTGAGATCTCGAGAAAGAAGATACAAAGGGAAAAGGAGAAGATTCTTAGGACCCTCATGAATCTGAGTCACTGCGAATCTACGTTTTTTAAATTCTTAGGTGATACTGACAAGACAGCCAATCTAGTAACAGTATAGAGAAAGCACTTGACCCTTTCGGGGATCTGTTGCTTTAAAGAAAGAGAACTCTCTTGCTGACTCAAGCTAGTTTTGTCTGTGACTCATTTCTAATCAAGACTCCTTAGCTTCTGGGGCGCCTGGGTGGCTCAGTCGGTTAAGCGTCCAACTTGGGCTCAGGTCACGATCTCGCAGTTTGTGAGTTCGAGCCCCGCGTCAGGCTCTGTGCTGACAGCTCAGAGCCCGGAGCCTGCTTCGGATTCTGTGTCTCCCTCTCCCTCTGCCCCGCCCCCACTCATGCTCTCTATCTCTCTATCTCTCTCTCAAAAATGAATGAACGTTAAAAAAATTAAAAAAAAAAAGACTCCTTAGCTTCTGACACTGTCATACGTCATAGAAGTAAAGCACAAACGTTAAACGGATGTAAATCAACTTCAGCTCTTTAGACAAAGGTAACTTACCAGCTATTATTTATTTCCCTTTTGAGAAACATCAGCCAAGCGCTCTCAAAATCTTGCGGTGAAGCTTCCTTCCATTGACCAACAGAGTCATGGCTGTGAGTCAGCTAAGCGCCTCCGATCGGCATCTCACATCTGGTGAGATAGGACGTGAGACTATTTCCACCCCATTGGTGTCTGACATCTTGGAAACGTTTGCCCTCTAGCTGTCTACTTGCGAGCTGCCAATGCCACTGCCCGATGAGACGGGAAAACGCAGCGACATTCTCGAGTCATTAAGAAGGGAGCGACTCGGCGCGCACGGAAGACACAACAAACTGTACGAGCGGGGGAAGAGGAAAGCTCAGGTCTCGGGCTGGCCCTTCGGGTTCTCCGCTAGCGACAGGCGAACCCACGAGTGCAAAGGACAGAGACAGCTCACCCAGAGCGGGACCAGGCCAAGAAAACAGAATCACAAAGGAGGCTCCTTGCTTCCTTCATCCTTCTTTCCCTCCTTCCTGAAGGGACGGTGCTGGGACCAGGCAAGAAGGAATGAAAGGGAAAACGGCGAACTGCCAGGTGCCCAGCACGAGGAAGCTGGAACGTGAAGGGGAAACCGCGGTCAGTTCCCGCTCGAGCCTTCGCAGGCCTCTGTACTGTCCCTCCTGAGACCCGGCTCCTCTCCTATAACGAAACTGCTAACGGAACACCTTCCTCGGGCGGCCACTCTGTGCGTGGAGAGATAACGATGGAGACGCGTGCTGTAAACTCTGAAGGGCTTCAAAGATTCTGCTAACGGTGGTGTTGATACGCGCCTTATTAAAGCTCCGTGTGGGAGGCTAAGCACCCAGAGCACAAGTTCCTGATCACATGGCTCCCGTCAAAACATCACATGCTCTGTTCAGTCTCTCCTGGTGCAGACACGAGAAAGGCCACCTGTGTGTTCAGACCAGCAGACGGAGGTGATCACTGTTAGCACCGTCACGGTCTGGCCTGCGTGGTCTCCCAGGGGAGAAGAGGGCAGTGAGGCTCAAGGGTGAATGGACACGTGCACGTTACAAGAACCACTGTTAAAGAACGCTTCATCAGGACTTCCCACTCCTCCCACCCCTTTTTCCAAAGCAGGTACCGCAGGCGGTGAGGGACTAGACGGCCTGGAGTCGCCTTCCTGAGGAGGACCGTCAGGAAGGCAAGAGAAGACAGACACAGCTTCTTCCCAGAGCACGGGAGAGCTACTGTCACCGTGAGGAATAGTGGGCCGAAATCCAGAGGAAGACGGAAACCTGGATGGGTGGGCTGGCGGCGGGGACTGCCTTTGCCACCCCAGGGGAGGCAGCCGAGAGACCAGGCAGCAGCTCTGTGGCCCCAGGGGCCTGGGAGTCAGAAGCTGGAGTCCACAGCATGCCCAGAATGAGGGCTCTGGCAAAACACCCACAATTAGGGTGGGGAGCGCACCTCGGAACAAGTGTGAAATGAATATCAACCCGTAACCTTGAATGGACTGCAGGCCGGGTGGCTCCGGAAAGCTCAAGCCCTGCAAGCAGACTAAGCTGACTTCGGAGAGCTAATGCCCTCACGGCACGCGGCAGAGGCAAAGGAAAATGCTCTCTGATGGAGGAAAGTGTACTGCCACGGACTGAATTATTTCTGCAGGGACAAGTGGACACCAGCATACGTGAGCACGAAGTCAGTCCCCTATCTCAACACTACGTAGAAGGGTCAACCAAAATGGATCCCAGACCAAGCTTCAGGTCTGACGCTCTAAAGCCATCAGAAGGGGACACAGGTGCACCTCTTTAGCACCTTGGAACAGGCCACGGTTTCTCAGACGTGGTGCAAAAGCAAAACCAGAAGCAATGAACGAACGATACATCTGACAACATGGAGGAACCTTGAAAACCGTTACACCAAATGAAAGCAGCCAGGCACGGAAGGACGTGCGCCGTACCTGTGTTTGTATCGCATGTGGAACACAGGCAAGTCTCTGCAGACAGAGAACCAATCAGCGGTGGCCTGGGGCCGGGGGGCGAGGCCGTGACTGCTCACACAGGGGGTTCGGTGCTGCTCTTGGGGGAGACGAAGATGTTCTGGAATTACACTGTGGTGAATAGACTGACAGCCACTAAATCGTGCTCCGGAAGGGTGAATTGTATGGTATGTGAATTATACTTCGATAAAGCTGTTCTAAACAATTATCGAATTCACTGTTTTCCCCACACAGAACAAGCAGCATGGTCGTCAGAGGCCCCAGCGCACAGGAAGGCAAAACGACATGAACAAGCACGTGTACAGAGCGGACCAGGTCCACCCGCGACCCAAGCCCCTGTCTAACCAGACCCGTTACCTGCTTGTTACAGAAATAAATGACCATCGTTTCCACAGGAAATTTAGAACTGTAAAAAGTAAGTGGTGTTTCCAGGCCGAAGAAGAAATAAGTAGAAATTCTAGAGTTCCATAACCAACGCTCAGAACCCAGTGAATGGGGACACATTTAACAGCAGCTCTGACACAGCTAAGAAGAGAAACGGTGAGCTGGAGAGAGACACGACAACAGTAACCAGACTAAAGGAGGGGAAAAGGGTAGGAAGATACAAAGAGAAGATAAGTAGAATATAGTTAAAGCATCTAATGTATATTTAAACATAGCCGGAAGGGAGAAGAGAATGGAACAAAGTTATATTTTTTAAGAGACATGGATGAAAATTTTTTTCTAACACTTAGAAAGATGGCAATCCACAGATTTAGAAGCCCAGGGAATTCCTAGCAGAATAAATAGAAAAGAATCCACATCCGGACACATTAAAAAAAAAAAAAAATCAAAGAAA